AGAGAGAAAGTGAGAGAGAGAGAGAGAGAGAGAAAGTGAGAGAGAGAGAGAGAGAGAGAAAGAGAGAGAGAGAGAGAGAGAAAGTGAGAGAGAGAGAGAGAAAGTGAGAGAGAGATAGAAAGTGAGAGAGAGAGATAGAAAGTGAGAGAGAGAGATAGAAAGTGAGAGAGAGATAGAAAGTGAGAGAGAGATAGAAAGTGAGAGAGAGATAGAAAGTGAGAGAGAGAGAGAAAGTGAGAGAGAGAGAGAGAAAGTGAGAGAGAGAGAAAAAGTGAGAGAGAGAGAGAGAGAAAGTGAGAGAGAGAGAGAGAAAGTGAGAGAGAAAGAAAGTGTGAGAGAGAGAGAAAGTGAGAGAGAAAGTGAGAGACAGTGAGAGAAAGTGAGAGAGTGAGAGAAAGTGAGAGAGAGTGAGAGAAAGTGAGAGAGAGTGAGAGAAAGTGAGAGAGAGAGAGAGAGAGAGAGAGAGAGAGAGAGAGAGAGAGAGAGAGAGAGAGAGAGAGAGAGAGAGAGAGAAGTGAGAGAGAGAGAGAGAGAGAGAGAGAGAGAGAGAGAGAGAGAGAGAGAGAGAAAGTGAGAGAGAGAGAGAGAGAGAGGCCCGGCGTCATTAAAAATGACGGAACTTGAAACCTAAAATATAACAGCCTTCTCTTCTTAACTTCTTCCAGCATAATGTTATTTCCACATTTCCTCGGGCAGTCGTCACGTTCTTTTCTGTATCCGATAAGCTTTCCATCAACCTTTCTGTTTTGTTTCTATTTTCGTTACCGTACGGTGTTATGTCTCCCTGTTCTCGATGCGACAGCTTTAACGTACATTTTAATGAATATCGTTTATTCGGGAAAAAAAAAAAAAAAATAGAGTGAAGTAATAGGAAGGATCTCACGGTTTGTTTGACAGTATCATCGCGTCAATAACATACCTTAAAATAAGGTGAAGATCAAATCATGACCCCGATACAAACTACGTCATCATGAAGTGTCGCGCGTAACCGTGGAACTTATCACCCACCTCGCCTTTGTTTACTTTACGCATTATGCAACATTATACAAAATTTCCTCCGAACAAGCTCAGAGCATTTATATAAACATCATACTTCAGCAACTGGACTTTGCGGCCGCGTCTTCAAGGTCAACACACAGTGGACACACCCGGCCGTGCAAGCAGCTCGCTTTCCAGCCCTGGACACATGCAAACACGCTCCGCCTGTTTCTTCGAGATGGGAACAAGCTAAGCAAAGGGAGGAATGGGGTACAGTGTGTGGGGAGGGGGTAAAATCCTGCGAGGGGGGGGAGGGGTAAGGCAGGAGATGGGAGAATGGAGGGGGGCGCAGAGAGAAAGAGGGGAGGAAGAGAGAGAGAAATGGGGGGAGGGGGGAGGGAGAGAGAGAGAAAGGGGGGGAGGGGGGAGGGAGAGAGAGAGAAAGGGGGGGAGGGGGGAGGGAGAGAGAGAGAAAGGGGGGAGGGAGAGAGAGAGAAAGGGGGGAGGGAGAGAGAGAGAGAGAGAGAGAGAGAGAGAGAGAGAGAGAGAGAGAGAGAGAGAGAGAGAGAGAGAGTGAGAGAGAGAGAGAGAGAGAGAGAGAGAGAGTGAGAGAGAGTGAGAGAGAGAGAGAGTTATTGTTGCAAGAACTGACTGTGAACCCAACAGAACCATCTCAACTAGAGGCTAAAGGAGCAGGGGGGGGTCACCATACCCACGACCGGGAGTCTCTTGAAAGACGGGAGAGATAAATCAATACTTTAAAAAGTAGAAGCGCGCGCATGCCAGCCATGCATATACAAACACATATACATGTAACATATGAATATTCTCTTTATTTATCTACACGAGTGCATACGCGCCATATCCCGCATACGACAAGGAAGAGTTTGGCCCGAAGAATGAACCAAAATGAATGCCCTAGTTAGCGCAAATAAAACATCAACAACAAAAACAGAGAAATAGAAATAGACAAAAGAAATGCCAAAACACGCGAGGAGGAGGAGGCGGGAAGGAGTGGGAGGCGTCAATACCGTGGCGTTCTCGCAGACCGACAAATCGCAACTTCCTCCTGGCTGAACTATGAAGAAATCAATGACCCAATTTCTGCCATGTGGACTCCGGCCGCGCGTCCTTGATACATGGCGTTTTAGCGGTGGTGTTCATTTACTTTATCCAAGTCTATGAGAACAGCCATCACGGCATTAGTTTATATGATTATATATATATATATATATATATATATATATATATATATATATATATATATATATATATATAAAACTTTGGAGACTGACAAATTGCGAAATGTTAATATATTTTCATTTAAGTTAGCAAAGCAGCCAGCCGGATGGATATTTAGTCTTGTTTTCTGATGTCATATGATTGCTTACAAACAATGATATCGCAAATTACAGAACGAATTATAAAACTACGCATCGCAGAGAAACGACGGTGAAACACCGACAAGATAAAAACAATTACCAAAGTAACTTTTCCTTACCAAGGTAAAGAAAGGGCATATACAACGAGCCTCTAGAAAAGCGAACTCATCGAAACAAAACGCGGCGCAGAGAACAGGTGTGGGGAGGCACGGCGGCGTCGGTCGTGGTCGAGGTGGCATGCCTTGTTCCTGGGTTCAGGCATATCCCTCCCCCTGTTTTGGCATGTGCGCGTTTCCCTCGTGACTCGGCTGCTCTCCCAGCCTGCATGAAGGGGAGGCTAATGGGATATGAACTTTCATTTTCCTTCTAAATGCGTAATTGAGACGAGGACGGAAGACAGAAAACAAACATTAATAATCAGGACAAAATGAGCATGGCTATGCGTGTCTGCCCGGGCTGCAACGGGATCCCTTAAAACACTATCCGGCAACAGTCCAAAGTTATTGACTGCAAGACGCGTCATCATCATCATCATCGTCGTCGTCGGCTACTGTTACGGATAACTAGATGTAAAAATACACACACACACACACATCCACACAGACAGACACACGCACACACATACATATACAGTATACACGCCGTAACACACACACACATCCCGTTCTTCCCCGGGTCGATCGGCATATATGAGTCTGCTCCGACTAGAAATTAGCTCGCTCTACTGACCTCGAACGGTAACTGGTCACAAATAACTCCTGCCGATTGTACCTTAACCATTTGTATGAAGCGCTGAAACCACAGTGACTTTAGAATGCACGCAGAGCCAAGGAAGTGGTCTATAATTAGCCGCTTTATTAAGAAACCCGATGCAGAAGGTGTAGACTACCTACGTAACCGTGCCAGGCAATTATGAAAACTTAAAGCTGTTAGGATCCTCCTGAAGTGAACCTTATCCCGATACAGAATTTGACATACAACACAAATTTTCGTGATCGATGTAAAAATCTATAAAAAAGATGTCTTTAAATATCATATGTCAAATAGACGCGCAAACACCTGAAAATATGAAGTGCAGTGTAGCACAATTCCTTTAAACCCAAGGCACATGGACAGCCAACCACTACACATGTATTTGATTGGAAAGAACTTTATAGCTGTATTCAACTTTAATAAATTACTATTTTTCGCCTGCATGTCAACCGATGGCAAAGCGAGCGAGAGTGGGGGGGAGAAAGAGAGCGCGGACTGCCTCTGCCATAACTCTTTTTACAACAAATCATCATAACTTTCGCCTTTTATCCATGATTACCTTCCGAACCTCGTCCGAAAGCGTGTCTACAACGCAAAACTATTACGTCCTATTCCCCGTTGCTGAAAACAACGTGCGAAGACAGCTTTAATCCCGCCAATAAACCTGGAAATAATACACAGAACGCGGTGCGGAATAGCGACATGTGGCTACCAGCGCGGCCCGCCATCGCGTTCTCCCTCTCAAGTTCACTTCTTCCAACTTCCCTTGGTTCCATCACAAAAAAAGATCCAAAGCCTCATGGCCGTGGGCACGTCTCCTCTCTGGGCGACCTGGGAGGAAATTCCAACACGGAGATTGTTGGATTAAGTGTTATTAACCTGCCCGAAAGTCGCATTATTCCGTACTCCCAACCTGTGTACCATTCGTTCATAATGAACACAAATTGGCATACCATTATACCATCGCCAGATATGCAGATACACCACACTATTTGCAGGACGTATCCGTAGCATGTTTAGGACTCCCGTTGAATACAGTCCGGTCAACAGAAGGATATTGGATGTAAAAAAATGTTTATCGATTTTCCTGAATGAGGCGTCCATATTAGATGAGCTAAAAATCAGTTTGAATTACAACTGTGGTACCGGTCCAGAAGCGTGAGCAGTGACACGTATGTTCTTTCCTATGGTGGAGATGTAAACTCCTTCACAAGCTGATACCTTTATCAGCGTGTGACTGCCCAATGTGTCCTGGCCATCAACAGGTTCTCTTTATAATTTCCATTTCGAAGTGCGTGTTACTGTAATTACGTTTCTCTGAACCCAAGCGTACGATATCAGGAATGATAATATTTTAATTTCGAATCAATTGGACGAAGGTATTATCATGCAAATGATTTGAATGGAACTCCATCTATGTAAATACTAATATAAACAATAAAGGGAATATATTCAATATGATTAATAAATAAACGGCATCGCGCGGGTACGTTCCATCTTTTACACGTTCCTTCGCGATTTCTGAAAACTCAGAATTAATTATTAGTAATAAAATATTACGCGCTGCCTTGTGCAATTCTCCCACACTGCACCGAGGACTCCACAGTATTCTCGCGTCTCTGAAAAAAGAAAATGATTAAAAGAGATAAAAAAAGACATTGTGTTATCGAAACTTAAAACCTTCCTTATCCCTTAAAAAAAAGAAAAAAAAAACTTTTTTCCCTCGTGAAGTTTTTAAGTCTGACGAAACAAGGTCGAACTCACCAACACACATACTAACACACACACACACATGGCTTGCCTCTCACACTCTTGTCCTTAAAAGCTTTAAAAACGAATAAAGGGTTTGCAAATAAGCCTCGACATCCCACTCATTCCCCTCGCAGGACATTCAACTTCCATTTCCTCATCTCGGAACAAATACACTCTCATTCTCACGCTGACATACAAGGTCTTAAAACAAGTAAACCCAAACAATCAATACACTCTGGTGAACGTGAGTGAATAACTTTGTACAACTATACTTTTATTTAACATTATATACATCCGACTTACCTGGTGTTTCTTAGCAGCTAGCCACATCTGATACTGATGGGTTTGTAGATCCATTTTCAAGGTTTGTCAAAGCACACTTTCACCTCCTTTAAAGTTGTAAACACTTAAAGGAATCTCTTTAAATGAAGAGATAAACTTGCACAGGTTTCGGAAATGAAGTTAGTATTGGAACACGTCGCGATGTTTTTCCCGTAGAGCAAAGTCTTGCCAAAGAGCGTGTTTCTTGGGGATGAATGCATGTGACTAATTCGATATAATTCATTTTCTTTATTATTTTTTTGGATTTGGGTGGATCATTGGAGGGAATTAGCATAGGTTAATAAATAGGCTGAATTTAATTTACATGTGTGTCTCCATCTTTGGAGTGTTTCCAATATAGTTCACCGTTGACTAATTGTCTCTCTGCGCATTATGTTATGTTTAAGAATAGAATGGATAAGATGACAATAGTTATAATGAATTAAATGATGATTTATACCTATCACATTGTTTTGAGAGGGATTCATTTACTTTTTCTACCAATAAGGAGCTCGAATTGCGCATGGACCTCTTCCCTTTAAGATGTAATATTCAATTCTCAGCAACATTTTCGTCTGCAAGGGAGTCATTAGCATACTTTTATTAATTTATTATCTCTCAATTGTCTATCAAATAAATGCATCAATTGGCGGGTTTAATCCCCATAGAAATAAAACTGCTAAGGGTACTTTTTCAAGATCACAGACTATAGTTACAATACTATCAAAAAAAGCTTAAATGGATTTACTTAACCATCCATTAACCCACTAAATACTATAATAACTTATAGATTAATGATTTTTAGCTATCAAGATGGGAAGTGCATATTACAAGATAATGTTTACCGCTTAACATTATCCATATTGCGACCCGACTCTAGAGCATCACATGTGAGAGCTCGGGCCGACCTGAAGCCGAATTCGAGGATTTGGTAAGAAATTCGCTAAATAATCGTCAATTAATCACCAATGACGCCCTTATTACAATAGAGCTCGAACCTAAGATTAATAGAGGCCATGTGTGTCTACAGAGAAAGAATAATTCCAAGGTTATAATGACAGTTGAAGAGGGAATAGGCCAGGGGGTAAAAAAAGGAGTATTTCGAAGTATTTCTGAGAGAAAAAGGGAGAAAATGTCTTGTAGGTTCGTATATAATCGCCGAGGTTAAGCTTTAAAAGGCTGTGCGCTCCCGAAACCAATTTACCGATGGGAGAATGAGGAAAAATAAGCGAGTTTAACGTAGCCAAGGTTGTCTCCCTCCCTCCTCCCTCCTCCCTCCTCCTCCCTCCTCCCTCCTCCTCCCTCCTCCCTCCTCCCTCCTCCCTCCTCCTCCCTCCTCCTCCCTCCTCCCTCCTCCCTCCTCCCTCCTCCCTCCTCCCTCCTCCCCTCCCCCGTCTGGCCATGATGCAATAGCTAAGAGGAAACAGACGTCAACTTTACGGGGATAATGGGGCTGGCGTCGTGTTTTTATTTGCTCTTCCTATGTTAGAGCAGCATTGGTATCTTGTGCTGCGAGTTGTAGAGGCGTTAGAGGGGTAAATTTAACTAAATTGGGGTGAAATATGAATAGTGTCCTTGGGAGGAGTGTTTGCTCTTGTAGGAAACGGGACTGTATTTTGCCTTTTTAGTTCAAAGGTTAAATCCCCAATTTGAAAGAAAGAATGAATGAACTCCATCCCTGGCGCACCTGTTACCGGAGAGATCGATGTCTGAACCCAAAACCTCACTAACCTGGGGGCTTTGTTTCTCCATAGCTGGTACGGGTCCATTTGGATAGTTTAACAACATAGATCATGCAGTGATGCAGAATTGTAAGACTTGTAAATGTTTATTATGGGCACACTTTGTGAGTGCACTATTTTTTTCCTAACTTTCATACAGTTAATTACACTATGTGAAATGAGAAAATACTATTTGCTTTAAGATATAGTGTAGTTACTTTGATTGTCTTGATATAAAGCCAGCAAACTTCTATGTATATTTATTGAGTAATTCATGACTCAAAGTCTGCACCTGAGACAATAAGTGGTTCTTGACCTTTTTATCAGGCAACCCCAATCATGCACCTGTAGACATGACCATAGCCCCAGTCTGTTCTACAGTGTATAGATTCGTATTATACATTACTGTAAAAATAAGGAAAAACATAATGTCTGTGTTAGAAAGGTAGGAAGGTTGGAAAAAGACAAAATTAGCATCATTAAATTAAATTTTAGCATTTGAAATTTAAAAGGCCAATTATTAATCAAAACATCCACTTCTGAAAAATTGTGTATCATTTTACAAAGACAAACTAAAAATGTAATTATATGTGCTTTCTATCAATTGATATACATTGGATTTAGTGGGAGCATTGGGTCTAGATCATGCTACTGAGTTGAGTTTCTCTATTAGTGGTTCAGTTGTAGAAAGTGCTACATTGTTTCGACGTAGGTAGGCAGAGACATGTCTGATACAGGATTAGTGTTAGGACCACTGCATTTTAAATTATGTAATAATCAAGCAAAATTTACCCTTAACCCATATGTGACTATGTATATGCTGTAAACATCTCAAAATTGAGATTTTTTTTTTTTTTCAGCAGTTTTCAAAGTACATAATCAAAGGTTATGACATGACACCATGGCATGATCTTATGGGTCTTGAGATTGTTAGTCTTGTTTCAAAGGGCAGTACAGTTTTTAAGTGGAATTAGGTAAAACATAGTTAATGGGATATGAGAATAAAGCTCCATGTTGATAGTCACTGTGGTTATCATCTGAACATTTATCTTTTTTTTCCAGTCTATATTGTAATCTGTTTTATCAGTTAATCTACAGTAATACTAGATTTGAGAACTGCTACCTACTTTCATAGTTTTAAGTAGCATATAATATTACAAAAATGGGACAAGATTTGCACAGAATTGATGACCCGGAGTTAATATATTAAAATCCCAGTAGACCAATAGCACTCCCAAATCAATGTTCCAGCATAAGATAGTTAATGCTCCTTATCTGAGCCAGCATGTAGCATGCTAACTGGATTAGGCAGCATGAAAAATAGCATTATTGCTGTGTTGTAGACTCAACACTGATTTTTAAGATAAAAATAAACATTTCAAATCAAGAATTTATTGCAAATTGATCAGAAATCATCAGACTTGGCCTAACAAAAACAAATTTTGAGATGTAGTTAAATTGAAAATTTTTGGTCTTGGCTTTTGCAAGAAGAATGAAAGCTAATAGAAAATAATCTCTCCTGTTTCCCCCAAATTAATAGTAACATAATTGCATAGGAAGAAACCATAGTTCTTCCCAATTAAGAGGTAATGAGGAGTATGTATATATGCACATTTTTTGTCGAGGTCTTCTCTGTCACTGTCACAATTCATTGCTTTAGATTCTGACCTTGTATTGAGAGGGCAGCATATGCTTAAGCAGTAAATGAGGCAAGAAGAGCAGAATTCTGAGGTTTTAGTGGAAATGATTAATTTCTTCCATGAATACCCTTGGAGTGATAACTTTTCTTTTCCTAGAAAGCTAATACCCATGAGATTCAGAGTTTGATCATGTTATGCTACTATTTATGTCTATTACTATTATGTAAAAGACGAGTTTGTTTTTGGTTGTCTAGAGATGGACTTGAATACTATTGACACATTCACAGCAATGTCCATTGGCAAAGGTAGGGCAAGGTATAGTTTCATTCACTGGAGACATTGGATATGTGTCGCATGGCTTGGCTGAATGGCAGTCAGGATTTCCACTGTTCCTTGGTGCGCAGGGCTTGGACACTACTGAGAAGGGACAAGGAATGCTTCATCAGGAAGCTTACTGAGAAAGTTGAAGGCCATTTCTTAGTAAATTGCACTCCATCTCTTGGGATCACCTCAGATCGTGTCTGGGCTTGTAAACATTGGGCTGAGTATTTTGAGCAGCTGCACCAGCTAGACTCTCCAGTAGTTAGTCTGGATGCAAGTAGTGTCTCTGTCCCTGTACTGGACCCATCCATCAGCAAGGAACCGAACCCAAACTGAAATTAGAAAGGCGTTTTCCAAGCTTAAGGTGGGAAAGCTGCAGGCATATGTGATATCCCTGCTGAATTGCTAAAGTCTGGGGGTGAACCTCTGGAATGGGGCTTGCATACAGTCTTGACTGTCATCTGGCAGTCTGGTTCCATTCCCCCTGACCTGTTGAGGAGCATGGTCATCCCTCTGGAAGGGGAAAGGGGATCAATGGGACTGTAGCAACTACAGTGGCATCACACTGCATATCCCAGGCAAGGTTTTGCCCACATTCTTCTGAACTGGATCTGTGACCACCTACTAAGGCACCAGAGACTAGAGCAGTCTGGATTCATTCCTGGCAAGTATACAATAGACCTTATTCTAGCACTTCAGGTCATTGTGGAACGCCATTGTGAGTTTGGTCGTCGGCTGCTTGAAGCCTACATCAACCTCAAGAAGGCACTTGACTGGGTGCATCATAAATTGTTATGGGAGATCCTGAGACTTCAGGGAATTCCGATACTGATTATTGGTTTAATATCAAGCCTATATACTGGTACTGTAAGTGCTGTAAAATATGGTGAGGGCCTGTCAAGCTTCTTAACCCCTTGCCGCCGGGTGACGGCGATACGCGTGTAAACAAATCGCTCGAAAGGTGGCGTGCGGCCAAACCAGCCGGCGACGCGCCAAAGCGCGGCGAGCCAGTGATTCGGGCTGACACCCCGTACTCCGGCGCTCAAAGTCGGCGCGCCGCCTTTGTTTGCCAGAGCGTAGAGTTTTATTTTCCTTTTGTACACCCGGCGTCATTGGGTTAACTCAGGAATGAGGCAAGGCTGTGGCCTTGCACCGACACTTTCCAACACTTGCATGGACTGGATAATGGGCAGAGATACTGTACCAAGTCACTATGAAGCAACACTGGGCAATGTCAAGGTCATGAAATCTTGACTTTGTTGAAGGCGTTGTTATCTTGTCTGAGTTTCTGAAATCCCTGGTAATGCATTCAGCAATGAGGCAAAGCCTTTGGGCCTAGAGATCTGGACCAAGACCAAGACCCAGGATTTTAGAAACCTGTTCATTTGATACATGGTTGGATTGAGCACATTGAAGTCACAGAGAGCTTTGTATACCTTGGCAGTCTATATCTCTGGGCTATCAGACCAGGAAGTCAGGAGAGATTGGTCTGGCAGCAGACCGATCAATAAGAGCATTTGGAGATGTCTGTACCCATGAAGAAGGACCAAGCTACATGTCTTCAGGGTCTTGATACTGCCAGCTTTGCTCAGTGGACATGAAACCTGAACAGTATCTAGTGCCTTGAAGTCTCACCTTGATGCCTTTTGTAACAAGTGTCCAACTGACAGCTACGCTATGAGATGGGCATGGTACTTGTTACTTGCATAATACTGGATCACCAGCTCAGGCCAGCTCATTTCCCTGTGGATAACCCTGCCCATCAGGTTCCTTTCTTGAAACAATCCTGGTGGAGGAGGCCTGTGGGATGACCTAGAAAGTTGTGGATTGGGCAGCTTGACCAGACCTGCTGCAAAGATGTAGAGATGGGTCAAGGGCCTGCCTGGAGACTTGCCAGGAGGGACCCCTGTGGCTGGAAGCGAAGGGTACAACGAGCTATGTGCCTCCATCGATTTAGGACATGGGTTTGAAAGGATTGTTGGATTGGATTCATTGGTTATTTGGCATCAGCATATATGATAAAGTAAAGGTCAGATTCAGTATTGCTTACCACAATAATTTATGGATGAGACATGGCCAATTTTTAACTTAAACTTTATTTATTGTATCATACTTAAATGGCTAAATAGAAAGATCGCATTTTATGTATTTATTTAAAAGGGTAAATCACAAAATATTTCAATCTTAATACATAGAATGGATTAATACTTGGCGCAATAATTTCACAGTTCTCATGATAAAAAAAGCATTGAGAAGTAACAAGTTGCTCTTCTGTGTCTTTCTGTATCCATTATTATAACCTCTTCTTGTATAGGCTTAATCTTGGTTGACTTTTTTCTTTTCTTTTCTTTTTTTCTCCCTCCCTCTTTGTTTTGCCTTTTCCTCATTTCCTAAATGTGACAAATTTATTTTAAATTGTTTTAAAATTAAGATCAAGGAAAACAGTTATACATCAATGTTTCCTTAAATGCATGTTGAATTAGAAGTACCCAAGCTTGAACTAAAATATAGTTTGATTATTTATAGTTCTGACCTATATCTGTGCTCTTCAAAGGTTTGGAGTACAGAAATAGACTTGCAAGTCATTATGTAGTCTAGTTCCTATGTTTTTTATTTATTTTCTTTCATTTTCCTCTTCTTCTTTTTTTTAGATGAGTGTAACTTACAATTATATAACTTTTTCACCATATTGACTGTATCTGTATCTCTCTGTTTGTATGTCTTTCTGTGTGCGTGTGTGTGTGTCCATCTCTCTCTCTCTCTCTCTCTCTCTCTCTCTCTCTCTCTCTCTCTCTCTTTCTCTCTCTCTCTTTTCCTCCTTTTTTATCTCTTTTTTTTTTCTCTTTTCCTCATCCTCCTCATTTCTTTACTGTTTTTCTTCTTTGGGTGGGAAATCAAGAAAATTTGTTAAAATAATTAAATACAAATTGGGAAGCCTGTTGTAGTTACTACCAGGTTGTCAGTCTGATAGGGAGACCCATATTGCCTTTTTACCTATAATTTTAGTGATATTGTAAATCTTGCCATGTTTTTCACATTTATATGGTAAAATTAGACATAATGAGGATAATTGTTATTATTACTAGTTCCATTTCATTTCTTTAATGGTATGCTACATTCATTATGAAATATTCACCAGTCCACCCTATTTTCAGGTGAAGATGGCCAAGCGTGGAGCAGCAACAGAACTAAACCAGGACAACTGGGCGGAGGAGGAGGAGCCGGAAGAGTTTGGGACATTCAGACAAGCCTCTTCAGATCAGCTGGCCACACGACAGATCAAGAAGGCCCGGAGACGAGGGATGGTTGGTGAGGCACCCTCGGGTCCTAGCATCTTTAAAGGTCTTGGTGGATTTTCAGCCTTTGGCGGAAGCACAAATTCTTCAAGTCAGCCTTCCTTTAGTTTTCTGGATTCCAATTCTACAAGTGATTCCTCAAAGAAGCCATCCTTTGACTTCCTTAGCAAAGCTAGTTCCGATAGTGTTAAAACTGTTAGTGATACAAATGAAAAGAAAAATACACAGCCTTTCAAACTTTCACAGGACTCGGGATTAATGGTTAATAAAAGTGTAGACACACCCAAAACAAATGGTGTATCATCGTCATCTAAAACTTCCTCAAGCAAGTTGTTCCTAGCTAATCTTAAAGCACTAAATGAAGGTGTACTTCAGTGGGTTAAACAGCACCTTGATAAGAATCCTCATGTAAATTTGGCACCAGTCTTTGATGATTACAAGAAACATTTTGAAGAACTGAAAAAGAAATATCCACCTGAAACTGAAAGTGAGAATGAAAGTGATGCTGGAGTCGTAGGAAATAATGCTGAGAAGAGTAGAGCTAGTGAAAAAGAAAATAAACCAATTTTTGGACAGGATAACTCAACAAAATCACTTAGCTTTGGTAGCTCATCAGCAGCAGCATCAACAAAAGATAAGGCACCTGAGGCAAGTAAACCAGCTTTTAACTTTGGGAGTGTTGTCAGTACATCACCAGAAAAGAGTACAGAGTCTAGTAAGCCCCTCTTTAGCTTTGGAACAACTACCACAACAACAGAAAAAACAGTAGAATCAAGCAAGAAGCTCTTCAGTTTTAGTTCAACAGAAAAAACCTCTGAAACAAGTAAATCTCTCTTTAGCTTTGGGAATTCAGCTGCCAGCACAAAGGAGACAAATGATGAGGGAGAGAAAAAACCAGCCTTTTCCTTTGGAGTCTTCGATTCAGGCAAGAAATCGCCTTTAAAAAGTGGTGGCTTCAGCTTTGCTGGTGCGACTCCAGCAGCAACATCTGAAACCCCTGCTGATGCTGGAAAGAAAGATGAGAATGAGCCTACTGATGAGCCACCCAAAGTAGAGGTTAATGAGGTCAAAGAAGATGATGCCCTCTATGAGAAGAAATGCAAATTATTTTATATGAATGATGGATCCTTTGTGGAAAAGGGAGTTGGCACATTGTTCCTGAAACCAGCAGGAGAGAAAACCCAGCTTTTGGTGAGAGCATTCACTAATTTGGGCAACATTCTGCTAAATATTATCCTTAACAAATCAATCCCCACCATTCGAGCTGGAAAGAATGGGGTGATCATCGCTTGTATACCCAACCCTCCCCTAGATGGAAAATCAGACTCTAAGGAACCAGTCAAAATGCTGATACGGGTTAAAACCTCAGACGATGCTGATGAGCTTCTTGAAAAGATCAATGAACTCAAGAAGTAAGAACTATGTGTCCTAAATTAGCATTTTGGTATCTGCCAAATTGAGATTTGATATGAGTTGTAAATGGTTCCTGTTGTGAGATGGTATTGTGACCCCACTTGCATGTGGGATACTTCATCTTGTGTTGGAACTCCCTCTAATTTTAATTTGTGCCATGGCCAGGGAATTGGTTCAAGCTGGTTTGGCAAATATATATATGTGTAATGTATCCATATGATTTTTTATATTTTTTATTTTATTACTTTTTTCCTTTATATTTTTTCTTTTTTCTTTTTCTTTTGTCATGACAAATGACAACTGGCACTATTATATCTTATAATGCCAGTAGACATGAGGTGACATATTCAATAAAATATGCTGTTGTGAAAGTGTAATTGTGGGTGTATTATTATTATTATTTTTTTTTTTATGAATGTTTCTGATAACAGCATGTTGATTTTTTTTTTTTCATGAATTAAAAGGCTAATTGATTGATATTATTGTAATTAACATAGTACAATGTGCATTATTACTGTTGTTACTGTCATTATTATTATCATTTTTATTTTTTATTATTGTTTTCTATTTCTGATATCCCTTTGCATTTTCCTCAGAGCTTTTCCCTAAGAAAATTCATCACAACAAAATGTCAAAGATTTCATCCACATATAGTGGAAAATCCTTGATATATGAATAGAATAATTTTGTTAATGAAAAAATGGGATACTTTTAGGCTGGATTATAAATTTTGTGTTTCTGTCCAGCTATATGTATACTGCAATTCCAAAAATATTGTGAAAGATTTTTCGATGCTTTTAAGTATTTTTAAAATTAAAGGAAACGTTTACAGTACTTTATATGGAATGTGTTATTTTGTTTACCTTTTCTTTTCTCTTGCTTCATCTTCCACAAAGTTGATTGCACTTAAATTGGAAGTTAATGAAACTCAATTACATTGAAGTTCTGGAATAGGGAAAATATATCTAATATACCAGGGTATTCACATACAGGAAATCTTGCTCAAGAAGGGCATGTTTACAAGTTCTTTATGCTTTATTATTTTTTGGTACAATTATTTTTATTATAATGCTCTGGCATAGTAATACTGATCTTATCAATAAAGTTTATGGCTGATTTATAATTCTTAGATGTATTTCTCAACCTTTTTTATAATTGGGGATATAAGATTATTTATATTACACTGTCCTATTAGCTTGAATTTCAATGGGGAACATGCATATCCTAGGACTAAGAGAGTCCATTTTAAAAGGTATAATTGGATGTTATTAATTTCACAATAATTTGTTTTACATCTTCAGAAATTTTCATCTTTGGACATGAAATAAATGAAGCCTGGTAGGAGTCCGTATCTATATAATGAAAATTGGTATCTAAAGTCAGTGTTTTTAGATGAAATGAGGTAATTACTTTAAAATAAAAG